AGATGGTTGACAGAGATGCTAGTGTTGCCCGTGCCATGTGAGTAGTGTGATGTCTCTCCAGGCGCAATGTTGAGTCCTTTTGATGATTGATTGTTTGATTGTTGATGGAGGGTTGTGGAATGAAAGACTGCCCCTAGGTGGATGGGCAGGACACGTTTGTTGTTGTTCTTGTCAATGTGAGTATTATGATGCCTCTCCAGGCGTCTGCTTGTAATAGGTTTTTTTTTCTGAATTTTATATTTGTTTAGCTTCGGCTTTTTCATGTTTGAAGCTTTCTTTTTTTTGCTATTTTTCTAAATGCTTCGGCTTTTTCAACATGTATGAAGCTTGCCTTTTTCTGTTTGATCTTTTGTTGTCATCATTGGTGGAAGAATCCCATCCCATGATGATGTTATTTGCTCAATCTTCATTGATGAGTATTATTTTGGAAGCCACTCCTGGCTTTGGTAGGAAAACATTCCTGGTCTTGGCATTTTCATGGATCATCCTTCATTTGGTTGAGAAGCGAAGCGCGATGGCCTCTTTCTGCTTATGGGTTTGCTTATTTGGTCGATTCTGTTCTATTCCACTGTTGATATGTCTTTGCTTAGTGGGCACACAGAATCACTTGAGGTTGCCGTTTGCCACTACTTGGCTCATGGTTGGCTATTGAGATTTTACGAGTGCTTTGTCTTGATGACTTCTTCTGACCCGTAGCAAGTAGCATGCATGGGTGCATGGATGCAAAGAAAATGCAAGACAGGAATGATTCTTTTATTTATTTATTTATTTATTTTGTGTAACGCCCTTCCATATGCCCCTAACTCATATGCATGCGATGCATTTTATGCTCATGTGTTTGTTCCTAAAGATGCAATTGATTTTTTTTATGTCGGGAAATTAACCTGTACGCATTAAGGTTAATGTTGACGATTTCTTTCTATCCATGCCAATCTTGATTACTGTCGGGATATGTTCTTTTGAGCCCAAGCTTCAGTGGTTCCTTAACTATCCAGTCGATGTGTGGTCAAGCGTCTCTAACCTCTGTTTGAGGACATCTCAGCCTTCCCTCTGTGAGTATTCACTGTGCATTTTCCATGTATCTTTTCAGTACCATTTTAATGCCATAAGGGTCAAGAGAAAAGAAGGAAGGAATGTTATATTATTATTTTGTTTTTTCAAAAGGGTTGTTAGAAGGGATTTTTCAAAAAGGGTTTTTTAGAAGAAGGGTTGGCCAAGGTAGGCTTTAGTGTTTAGGGTTATCAAACAAAACGTATTTGCTACAAGGAAGCTATCATTGTGTTTTAGCCTTTTTGGAAGGTGGAGTGATGACTTGGGGTTATGCTTTGTTTAGATGATCCGTCGAGCCGCCTTTCGGTTTTCAACTCAGGTCGCTGCTTTGTTGTCCTAACTTTTGCCTAGGTTACTTGAGATGTGTTCCCTAGCGGACATTTTTCTTTTGATCTTTTATTTTGCCTAGGTTACCCATTTTTACTTGTGGGTTGCCTAGCAGATCTTGCCCTAACTTTTGCGCAGCCCCCTTAGTGGGTTTCCTGCTGGGCCTTCATTTTTTTGCAGCACTCATGAGGTATGAGATGTCTTTATTTTATCAAATCCTAGTCATGTTTGAATTCCTGATTGTTCCTTTGTTATCCTTTCCATGCTATTATTGAGTAACATCTTTGTTGCAAATACATTTTGTTTGTTAAGGGTTGATGGATGAGGCCTAGAGTGGATATTTAGAGGGAGAAGAGAAACAAAAGAGTGTTATAACATTTAAAACAGTACTTTCAATTTACACGTGCCCCTTTAACAAAGCTCGAAGGCCCGAGCATGCCCCGAGTTCGTGATTCATACACAGAGAGATAGACGAAGGTTACCCCCTAGAAAGTCATGGATGATTTGATAATTTCAAAAAACCGTTCCACTTGCTTGGACGTCGGTGTTTCGAACTAGGAGTGAAATCTTTATGAATTCTTACTTTCGAAGGGAATACTCGAGCCACCTTTCGATTTCAACTCAGATAGACATTTTTATATATCCCTAACTTTTGCATAGGACGTAACCTATCGAGATTTTGATTCTTATTTCTTTACCCTAATTTTTGCCTAGGATGCCCTTTACGGGTTTTCATCCTAGCGAGTTTTTGTCGCACAATGTCTTTATTCCTCAATTGGATTTTGTCTTGTAATTCCCTAGAAGCAAGGATTCGTCCATTCTTGATCATTCCTCCTATCCCGGCAATTGTCATTTCGTCATGGGAAAGTCTCGCTGTTTGAATCATCGATTTGGGCGTGTGATGCCCCCAATTACGGATATGTGTTTCCCGATTTGATGTGTCAGGTTCGCATTTGATTACAGTAATTTCCATTATCCGGGTAACACGCACAAATTAGATTTCCCTTTTTTATTCTTATTTATTATTTACAAGGAAGGCGTGTTATCTATATGAAACATAAAATAGGATGCAAAAACATATGAGAAATTCAACGGGTATCATTCTCATTGATTTTTGTTTAGAGAACATTCGTTGCATACTATTATATGTGCCTTCCATTTCTAATGAATATATGCTAATGTACTATCCTAAGGGATGCATGATATTTATTTTCTACCTAAATTTTATCATGTTTTTTGGCTAAGAGTTATGATGCATGATTTTTTTGCTATATTTTTTATTTGTTTTTTTTATTTAAATAAACTATCCTATATGATGTTTTGAGGTTTGGGTATATAGAAGGGAGTTAAATTTTTTATCATATTTTTTTATTAATATCTATTCGTTTGTAATTCTTATCCATTTGAAATAAATAAACACAAACAAATGCAACACACATATGCTCAAACAAATGTACACCCGCGAACAATCACGTTTAAATCTTTGGTCTGTGATGCCTGCAAGAAAAGTGCATTGTATAGGACAGTTCTAATCTCACTGGTCTTAAGGCCCCCAAGGTGCCCCCATTATAGGGAGACCCAGTATCTCTGTCGCCATCACCTGGCAAACTCTAAGGTCTGTCGCATATTTCGGGCTAGAGTAACCGGTTATCACCTTAAGTGTGATTTCCGACAAGGCTCGCAGGCTCCAAGGCCAAACTTGGGCCGGTCGTACATCAACCACTCCCTATGTTTAATACTCTCATGCCCCCGGGTGTAGGGGGAACTGTTGTGTGCAAAGGTTTGTGTACAATTTTTTTATTCAAAAAGATGCAGAATTTAAACAGGCAAACAGATATTAAAGCCAAACAAATAAAGCAAACAAAGTAAAGGGAAAAAATATTTAAATTATTATTTTTATTTTATTCACTTCATCAATTAAATCGGCCTGACCCTCTTAAAACGTCCCCAGTGGAGTCGCCATCTATCACAACCCGAAAATTTCTGATATTGCGACTAATGGTTTAAACATCCTTTTAAAGATCCCATCAATTAAGGAATGCCCGGACACCAGACTAATCCTTAATTAATGGTTTTGAAAATAAGTTCTTGGAGTCGCCACTAATGTTTTACTCAAAACATTGGAAAAAGAAAAGATTTTTTTAAAATTCAATAATGGCCTTGATAACCAGAATTGGGTTCGGAGGTTGATTACGTGTAGGAAAGGTATTAAGAACCCCTACAACGCCATCAATCGATACCCTATGTGGAAGTTAGCATTATAAACAATAATAATATTAAATCCCCTTTTATTAATAACTATTTACATGCTTGAAATTTAAATTATACAATTGACCCTAAAATGTCTACATGATTGCTTTTATTATTGTTTATATTTATAAAAAACAAGAAATAAAAGAGAGAGAAGAAACTTAGCTGAAATACCCCTTGAACGAGCTCTATTAATCTTCAAATATGGAAATTTAAGTGCTTTATGACAACCTTTCACACTACAATGCCTCACAAAATCTCAAGAAATACAAAAGAGAGAAAGAGAGAGAAATTTCAAGCTCCTAAGGAGTCTGGACGAAATTTTTGGAGACCCTCTGAACTGTGCCCAAGATTTCTTATTTATAGGCATAAGACGTGGGCCGGAACGGCCCGTTCTGGATTCAGAACGGCCCGTTCCAGATCCGAACGTTACGTAATACTTTTGCACCCTAGAACGGCCCGTTCCGGGAAACCAGAACGGCCCGTTCTGATTTCAGAACAGCCCGTTCTGGGGTACAAATTTTAGGCCATTTGATGGGTTTGGAACGACCTGTTCTGGTCTAGAATGGCCCGTTCCAACCTATAATTTTTAGGGCTTTTAGAAGCCTCGAAACGGCCCGTTCCAATTCGAGAATGGCCCGTTTCAATTCTGGAACGGCCCGTTCCGGGCCACTAAAAATAGTTGATTTGGAATTTTGGGCCCTCTAATGTCCTATCTTGTTGTTTGTATGCCCCCGGACGAAATTGAGTGTCTACAGAGACCATATAAAAAGAATTATCGCAATTAAAATAATGTTATATGAACTTACTTCAATGAATCTGAAACCTTCCCCACTTCAGCTAGCATATATGCATATATAAGCTTATAAGACTGAAATGGATGCAATGTAAACTAAGAGTTTCCAACCACCTTTGAATTTACAATATCCCAATCACCGGCCACATCAACCAATTACATTTACATGAATTTACCCAAAACAATTCCTCCTGATCTACAAATTTTATGCTACGGAATGGACCATAACTATTTATCTAAAATGCTGAACAAAAGGAGTTGCAAATTTCAATAAAATTGTTCATGACCTTTTCATTGTGTAGCACAGCATGGATCATGGTTTTTGTATTGGAAACACCATTAAAATTAAAAATTAACGGCAGTCAGGAAAACATAGGCCAATTGAAATTTTAGAATAGAAACCTATAATACATAGTTAATAATGAAAAGACATACATAGTTAATGCAGACAATTGATTTTCATGCATAATCATGTAACATTGTAAGCATAGCCAATAATAATTATCAAAAGTGCATACTTCCAAGTTCCAACGCACTTACAAAATTGATTTAGTTGAAATACCCCATTCTTAAAAGAAAAAATGAATGACTACAAAAATAAAAGACGGTATTTATTACTCAGTAGTCTCAATGTTGAGTTATTAATTAAAAACAGCTCATCAACATTTGTGTTCAAATAGAATACAGACAGCAAGGGCTGAATCAACTTACCTTGATGTTTGGTCTTAATTGCATGCTTCTGGCCATATACCCTGCTCTCATATTGTCAGATTCAGCATGTTTGGACTTGCCCTCTACTTTAACAGATGAATGCCTTAGCCTTTGATGTTCAAAACAAATATATAATACGTCCTCATATGGTATCTCAATCATGGGACTAGTTGAGTCATTAGTAAGAATCAGTAGTTTGCAGTTCTCTCGCAAGCTGGAGACTTTAGGAGCAAAGTCATGTAAATCCAAGTGTAGATGACTACAGTAAATAATGCCAACTTGCGTAACAGTACCGGGGAAAAGTAGCAAACCTTCTTAGTACTTGAAATGGAAAAGCTCTTTGTCAGAAACTTCAAAGACTTTAACAAAACTTGAAACATATGGGGAATCATTTCTTAGAGAGATAGTGATAGCAGTTTCACCACCATCACATGTAGCTAGACCCTCAAGAGTTGTTGAAATAAATATACCAGCCATATCATAGGTAGAATGACTATCTACTTCAGCTTCAATAGGGACCATAATAGTATCAGATGTATCTTGCGAGGACCTCAGTAAATGCAAACAAAATGCACCAAAGATTTTTCCCTCAAATCCAGCCATAATATCCATCTCCATGAGAGTTGCAGAGCCATGTGGAAAATCATTTATCCTACAATTTGCTTCAGTTTCAACAGAATTATGCCCTGAAGAAATTGATATCCAGTCAGGAAAATGATTTTTATTACTAGATTAGTACGAGTCATTCTACTTATCACATATCCTATAATTGATACACATAAGCTGGAAAAAGATAAACAGTCTCAAGAAAACAACCACATTATCATATTTACTGAGCAGTTTTTCACCAAATGGTAACATCTATTTGCAAGGAAGATTGAAGGGGTGGGTGTTACCTGGACTAGTGGGATCACAGCCAAACGTGCAGCAACATTGTCTAATGATTTCTCACATTCCCTCCATAGCAAATTGTGGGTTGGCATATCACCATATCTGGTTGGAAAGGAGATTCAGAAAATCAGCATAATTAACAAGAATTGGAAACAAAATTAAGTGACAACTACGCTTACTTAAACCCCAGCTCAGCTAGCCTCTGTGCACACTAAGAGAAGTGGCGGCTCTTATCATCAGCAACTTGATCAAAGTCAGCAAAGAACCCCTCCCCTATAATTTCACTATAGGAAGAAAATCGGACGATAGTATCCCATCCCAACCCAATTGCACCGTTCTTCCCAACCTCAACCCTAAACCCCAAATTCAAGCCAACCTCCTTCACCTTCGTCTCGACGGCCTCCACACTCTTATCGAAAGTGAACCGTTTCTCCCACCGCCTCCCCTTATCCAACGTCATTTCGAACAGCCCCCGCAAGTCCAACCCCGAGGACATGGAGATTATGTCAAAAGCGTTCATCCCCAACTTATAACCGTGGTGGTGGCAGAAGCGGAGCGTGGAGACGAGCTGCGTAGCGGCGCGCAAGGGACTCCGAGAGGCGACCGCTACGGGAGAGCTTGGAGAAGAGCTCGCCGCCGCCGGCGAAGTCCACGATGAGGTAGATCTTGGTCTTGGTGGCAAGGACTTCGGGGATTTTGAGGATGTTAAGGTGGTGCTGGAGGCGGCGCATGGCATCAATCTCGCGCACGATGCGGGGCTCCATGGAGGCGTCGACCGTCTTGGACTTATCAATGGCTTTTACCGCGACCGTGGCGCTGTCGAGCAGCGAGTGTGCCTGGTAGACCATGGCGAAGTTCTCGCGGCCAAGGAAGCACGTGAACTGGTACTTTCCGACTGTATAGAGCGTTTTAGGTTTGAGAGTGTGCGAGCGTTCGAGAGTGTGCGTTTGAGTCAGAGGGTGAGCGCGCATCTACTGAGTGGTCGCGGGGGCGGGGAAGAATTTAGTCAACCTTCTACATCGGTCAACACAAAACCTTATGTAGAATAGCTCACTATTTTCATTTCTACATTGGTCACTCATATAACTAAGGTAGAATTGTTTATATTTACATCATTTTTTAGAATAACTATGTAAATATTCTTATTTATTCAAGTTATTTACAAAATTGCCACCGCACATTTTTTACATCATTTTGTAGGGAACCGATGTAAATATGGTGACGTGGAATAGTGTTTTTCTAGTAGTGCCTTTAATCAAATTTTAGAACATAACACGTATAATAAAGGTGTTCATTTGAGTTCTAATCAGTGGAGCGCATTACGGCCTTGCGCATGTATCTTGTTTCGTGAGTGTCATTTAGAGATTGCCCATATCTCACAGTAGCGGCCCCACCACCACACTCACTAGGTGAACCCTTCCAAGGGTGGTCTCTGACACCCACCCCTACAACAATTGTCATTGGGTCCATTAATAGGTATTTTTAATTTTAACACAATAAATATAAATATTTGAATACCTCAACCTTATTACTGTCACAGTTTACTTTAGAGTACACCTCGCCATAGGAATGGAGCATGCAATAATTTTGCAATTTACGATGGTGTACTTAGTTAATAAACAATTTCGTTATTACCCATTAAACTTTGTAACACCCCGAATTTTTCTAATAATACTACGAATAATTATTATTTATTTTTATATCTATGAAGATTATTTCCTTATAATTATTTTGATTAATTAAATGGGTTTGATTGAATTTTTAAAGGTTTTTAATAATAATCATTTATGAAAATTATTTTGTATAATATTATTAATTATGATATTTTGTTATAATTATTACTTGAAGAAAATCATGTTTTAAATAGTATTGATATTTTATTTTAATTTGATATATATAAATATATATATATATATGTTATTTATTTATTTATTAATTAGTAATTCTGGATTTTCATAGCCTTGGAACGGGCCGTTCCGGATGTGGTTTTAAAGAATAAAGTATTGATTCAGAACGGGCTATTCTGGTTTTAGAATGGGCCATTCTGGGAGAGGCTTTTGTACATATAATTTATTAATTAATAATTCTGGATTTTCATAGTCCCAGAACGGGCCGTTCCACTTTGGGAACGGACCGTTCCAACTCGAGCATGCCTAGGTAAAATTTCAACCTAGAATAGGCTGTTCCACTTTGGGAACGGGCCGTTCTGAATGTGGTTTTATAGAACAAAATATTGACTCAGAACAGGTTGTTCCACCTTGAAACGGGCCGTTCCGAAAACCCCAAAATGGACCGTTCTGGTTTTGGAACGGGCCGTTCTTGGAGAGGCTTTTGTACGTGTTCTACGGGCTCAAAACAGGCCGTTCCAGATTCGGAACAGGCCGTTTTGGCCGCGGCCTGATGCCTATAAATAGAGCGTTTTACACTCTCTAAAACTCATTTTTTTCATTTTCTAATCTTTTTCCTCCTTTCTCTCTGAAGACGAAGGGGAACCTAGAAGGGGCGACGAACAAGATTCGGCTCCTACTTATCGAGGTAAGGGGGAGTGAGAAATCTTGCTCTAGGTGTGGGAATATATGTTGGGTAGTGGGATTGTCCCTTAATCCTATGTTTGTTGTATGCTCATGTATGAGGGGTTTTTCCCAATTATATATGTTTCTTCTATTGCTCTTCTTATATGTAAATAATTGTATGATATGAGATCTTTGTGGGTTCTTGAGAGAACCCTATGAGAAACAAGCAAAATATGAATGTTTTCTGTTTTGCTATCTGATTGCTCTATTGTATTCCTTGTTGAATGTAATGTGTAAATATGTGATTAATTTTGAGAATAAATATGTTTTGATATGATTTAGAGTGCTCTATGGGTTCCTGCGGGAAACCCTATGAGAAATAGGTAAAATATGAATATTTTCTGTTTTGATTTCTGATTGTTCTGTTATATTCCTTGTTTGATGAGATGTAAAAATATGTATTTAATTTTACAAATAGACGAGTTTTGATATAAATTAAAGTGCTCTGTGGAGGTTATGTGAATATGATAAGATAATGTGATAATGTGATATGATGATGTAATGTGAAATGTGATTGAGACGTGAGATATGAAGATGTGGTAATGTAATATGATGATATAATGAGATGATGTGATATGATAATGAGACATGACAATGTTATATGAGAATGCATAGAGTCTTGATTGACATGCATCATGTGCAAAAATGTTTCAGGGGTACGATATGGAATACACCGCCAGAGAAGGCCCCCTAGTGTAAAAGCTTTGGGGATTAGTCCTTGGGGATAGCTCGGTTTGGAAGTCCCAGTCTCGCCCATTGTGTGCATGGGATGTATCTTGCGCGGCTTAGCTATCCCGACGAGACTCTGGTAGTATGTCCTTCTAGTGAGAGTGCGCAGAGGGTGTGACCCGGCATGTACTCCTAGACTACTCTTCGTGTATTGCTAGCGGCAATATGCCATGTGATGTTTTACTGGCGCCACATGCATGATAATATGTAGTTTGTGTCCATACATATGCATTTTTAATGTTATATGATAAATTAATACCTTTATGTCTGGGATGAATGAGATGTAATGTTGTTGTTAATATATCTATGTTATATCTGTCTCGTTTGTGTTTGGCTATCCGGTGTGTATTTCTACACTATGAGCCAGAGTGAGATGTTTCTCACTCCCTTTTCTCTTGTGTTGTTTTCTCTAACTGTCATATAGGTTATTATCAACATGAGGATAAGGATGTGGGCGATGGAGCTTAGGCTTCTATGTGGGATTTTGCTCTGATAGGACATGTGACATCGGGACATAGAATTAGAATATGATATTGTTTATGATTTATTAAAGTATATATTTTGGAAAATTCAATTTTTATTCTTTGTAATTTTATTTGCTATTTGAATTAAGTACATGGATGTGAATTCTCTACTCTCATGATTATTGGAATTGTCGTTTCAATTTTAAATATTTTTTTTATCCAATAAGATATTTCTTTTTTATTTATTTATTTATTTTTATTTTTATTATTATTATATATATATATATATATATATATATATATATATATATATATATATATATATATATATATATATATATATATATATATATATATATATATATATATATATATATATATATATATATATATATATATATATATATATATATATATATATATATATATATATATATATATATATATATATATATATATATATATATATATATATATATATGTTGGGGTAGAGGGTGTCACAAACTCCATATATGGGATCGTCATTTATGTGGAGATGGGTGTCCATATTGTTGCAACTAGTTGATGGACTTTAGTCCCATTCCCCTTGACGATTCAAGTACCCGTTGACGCGTCAACCCTTTTGTGAGTGGATCCACAAGATTATTTTCATACCTGATAAAATCAACATAAATAATACCATGAGTTATCAAATTTCTAATAGATTTGTGTCTTATTCTCAAATGCCTTCTTTTTTCATTAAAGTTTTTGCTAGTAACTTTCGCAATGGCAACTTGACCATCACAATGCATTGATATTGGAGGTATAGGTTTATTTAATAATGGCAAGGCATATAATAAATTTTTTAGAAATTCAGCCTCACTACTAGCAGTATCTAAGGCAATTATTTCAGCTTCCATAGTAGAACGAGAAATAATAGTTTGTTTTGCAGATTTCCAAGCTATTGCACCTCCAGCTAAAATAAAGACATAACCACGGATTGGGATGCGAGTACTGTCTCCCCAGACCTTTGTTGTATTTTGAGGAAATTGTCAGTGTCCTCACTAGTTTGCTTGACTTGTGGTAGATATTGCTCCAAGGATGTTGGGCAGGAGGTGTGTCGTGATGCCTCTAGTTTGGGCTGCTTTTGTCTTTTGTTCAGATGTTATCAATTGGAATTTGTGTTTCCTTTTTTGGCTTTTCTTGTCGAGATGCAGAAATGTTAAATGCTTATTTTATACAAGATTTATTTATTTATTTTTGAATAATCCCCTTTGGATAAAGAAAGTTTTCTAAGTGTGTGAAATGCTTTTGGATGCATGCAATGTATGTTGATTTTAGTTCTTTTTTTTTAGAAGGTGGCTTTCCTTTTCTACTTCTCACGAATAAACTACTCTACTTGATGCACGACATTTAGTTGTATTGGTCGTCTGATGTATTGAACCGTCTTGGGGCTCTCTTTTTTTTTTTTTTTTAAAAACCCTAACTTGTGCCTAGGATGTTTCCTAACAGGTATTTTTGCTCTTTTCTTTTGCCCTAATTTTTGCCTAGGATGCCCTTTGCGGGTTTTCATCCCAGCGGGTTATTTTCATTTTTTATTTCCCTTTTTTTTGGAAATGTTCAAATTTTGACAACCATCAACAAAATGTCATTAGGATAAGACAAGATAGAAAGGAAATAAAGGATGATTTTGAATGAATGAGTGGTTGAGGTAGGTCAGTGTTTAAGTTTTTAAAAAATATTTCCTTAGATAATTATTATAATCACTCTTCTAATTATCTTGGACTACATGTCTAAGTCTCGAGCAGAGTCTTCAAAAAGTTTTGGCCTTTTGCAGGAGTATTCAAGCCGCCTTTTGGTTTTCAACTTGAAAAGTCGTCACTTGCTATTTTTAATCTTTTTATATCCCTAATTTTTGTCTAGGACATATCCTAGCGGGACCTTTTTTTTTCCTAGGACGCCCTTTGCGGTTTTTCGTCCTAGTAGTATTTTGCAAGTGATGTCTTTGGGGCATAACACTTATTCGCTTTAACGAAACCTCCTGCTATTTGAGTTAAGAATGCCCCCGTCCCATACACCGAGGAGAAAGATGTTGCCCTGACCTACGGGTGTTGAGAGTTCTTTTATGGATCAAGATTTGTGTTTCTTTTGTCAACCAAATTGAGTCGATGTTTTTGTAAGACTCCTCTTGTGTAGTGAGAATCTTATGATTTTGCATTTGATCATTTTCTTATCCTTGTATGTTTCGAGGGAGTGATCTCCTTATCTACCTTAGACTCAGATAGTGC